ATCTATTTCTTCTTCTTTGCCTCTGGTTTTTGGTGCATATATCTGGATGATAGTAGTGTTCACTGGACTTCTTGTAAGCATATGGATATAATCCTATCACTCACAGTGTTGCGAAAATAAGCTGGCAGGACCCCTCCAGAGTACTGAAAAACAACGATGTCAGTCTAGATACTAAGGTACGCCTAGTCCAGGCCATGGTCTTCACAGTTACTTGCTATGCTTCAGAGGGCTGGACAGTGACTAAGAGTGATGGAAGTAGAATCGATGCCTTCAAGTTGTGGTGCTGGAGAAGAGGCTTGAACATACTGTAGACTGCCAAGAAAACAAATAGCTCTGTCTTGGAGAGGGTGAAACCAAGTGTCTCTTTGGAGGCTAGGGTTTTGAAGCTCTGTCTCACAAACCTCAGGCACATGGCCAGGATGGACCAATCCTTGACAAATGACATCATGATCAGAAGGGTGTAGGAACAGAACAAGAGATAATGACCCCAGTCAGATGGATTGATAAAGTAATGGGGCAATGGGAGTTGATGTGTCAGAGATAGTGAGACTGGCTTAGGACAGGGTAGGGTTCAGAGCTGCTGTACATAGGGTTGCTATGGGTCACAGATGATGGCATATAACAACAACATGTACAGTAATTTGGGAAGCTGGGTTTTATGAGGAGGAATGTGGTATCAGTATTGGAGGGAAGCTCATCAAAAACCTGCATTATGCAGATGACACAACCTTGCTTGCTGAAGCTGAGGACCTGAAGAGCTTGCTGCAGAAGGTCAAGGACTGTATCTTCAGTGTAGATTGAAGCACAACATCAAGAAGATTCTCACCTGGACCACATGGCAGCACCATGATGGTTGGAGAAGAGATTGAGGTTGCTAACCATTATGGCTGGCTCAGCTCTACAGTCAACACCCTTGGCACCAGCAGTCACGAAACCAAAAGACGAATTGCACTGGGAAAATTTACTATTGGGGATCTCTACAGAGTACAGAAAAACAAGAATGTCAGTCGAGAGACTAGGGTGCTAATCCAGGCCATGGTCTTGACAGTTCTTTGCTATGCATCAGAGAGAAGATGGACAATGACCAAGGATGACAGAAGAAGAATCGATGTCTTTGAGTTGTGGTACTAGAGAAGAGAAGAGGCTTGAACATACCACGGACTGCCAAGAAAACAAGTCTGTGTTGGAAAGGGTAAAACCAAGTGTCTCCTTGGAGGCTAGGATTTTGAAGCTCTGTCTCACATACTTTGGACATGTAGCCAGGAGGGACCAATCCTTGGAGAAGGACATCATGCTCAGAAGGGTGGGGGGACAGCACAGGAGAGGAAGACCCTGAATGAGATGGATTGATACAGTAATTGGGACAATGGGAGTAGGTGTGTCAGAATCAGTGAGACTACTTCAGGGCAGGGCAGGCTTCAGAGCTGCTGTACAATAGGGTCACCGTGTGGGTTGGAGGCAACTTGATGCATATAACAACAGCATATATAATAGCTTTTAATAGTATTGTCATTACTTTTTGTTTTCAGTCTCAGAAGTTCTTTAGATACTGTCTTTGGTTTTTAACATCTTATTGTGGTTTGGGGGAAAGTTTGCAACACAAATTAGTTTCTCTTAATTCTTCCAATTTTTCAAGAATTGGTACACATTTTGTTTTATTATAGCTGCATTCCCCATGCCTACTGTTTTTAAGATTATTATTATTTTTTACGTTCTCCACCTATCCAGAAGGAGCGCTTGTGGCCTGGTGGTTAGTAGCTGTGCTCCAATCCCAGAGAGAAGCGGTTCAAATCCACCAGCTCTTCCATGGGAGAATGATGGTCTCTTTCCATGTCATTAAATGCCTTTGAAAACTTGATAGGAGGGTCGGCTGTGAGTCAATTCCAACTCAATAGCACACACATAGCTAGAGCAGAGAGTCATGGGAACATAATTAAGCTAAATGAATAAAATTGAGCATACCACATAGTATGGAAAAGCTTTATCTTATTCCTCTAAAAAAGTATGCATGTTTGAGAAAGAAATGTCTTAAGATTAGTTGAAAATGAAGTTATTTAACTGCCTCATTTTTCCTCTTCTTCCTTATAGTTGATTATGGAAGATTCCCACAAGAATAACACTTCAGAGACAGCACCTCAACCCAGTTCAGCAGTTCAAGGAGCGCACATCTCTCATATTGCTCAACAGGTACAGCAAGGACTAGCCAAAATATCAAACCAGTTAAGAATATTTTGTATGCAGATTAATGAGTTGTTTTAAAACTTTATACTATTTTGAAGAAAGCAAGCAAGCGAGACTTTAAGATGGTAACAAAGAAGGAGGGTATATTTGATTTGAATAACTTGTCATCAGCACTTGGTTTTAAAGTTTTGTTTTACTACAAAAAAAGTTTTGTTTACTAGTACCTTAAAATTTGGAGGTAATTTTTATTTTGTATGATGCACAAATAAGTTTGATTTTCTTTTAGATAAGTTTTGTTTCTGTATAAAAAAATGAGAAATTATTTGATTTTTGAATAGACTAATAAAGGGAAGGTACAGCGTCAGCAAACATCTCAGTGAGATGATTTGACAGTGACTACCACAGTGGGCTTGACCATGACAAGAGATGTGAAGATGGCCACAAGATAGCGCATGGTTCACATCTGTTGTTTATACTGGTATTCAACTTAATGGCACCTGCCACGAGGCAAACCATGTTTGGTTCAATAGATTTTAGTATGGATATTAGAAAATACTTTTGGGCGAGCTCTGGTGGCCTAGTGGCAAGAAGCTGCATTGCAATCTCAGAGGCGAGTGGTTCGAATCTACCAGATGCTCTGCTGGAGAAGGAGGAACAATTTCCTCTTGTACCAGTCAGATCTGATTTGACGGTACACACAAAAAATAATGAAAAAAAAAAATTTAAAAATAAAATACTTTTGGTGAACTGAAATAAATATTCATTAGAAAATGAAATAAAATAGGCACACATATTGCAGAACTGCCGATATGCTTTTAAATAGTAACTATGTTTAGGTATTTTGACAGAATCTGTTTATTATTCTGTGGGTTGGGATTTTTCCTGCTCATTAAAACAGTTCATTTCAGCACCATTTTGGACTCATCTTAAGACTTGGAGATATTTCTACTTCTGACCATCAGTACAGATTTGTTACTGTTTTGGTTACTGAGCTTTGATTTCCTGGATGTGAGATAACCAGGTTTGGATTATAATTACAAACAGGAATTAAGATTATGTTTTAAAACATTAGAGCTCTGCTACAGAAGCAGCTTTCCTGTACCAAAGCAGCTTTCCTGTACCAGTCAGATCCGATTTGACGGTACACACACACAAATAATAATAGTAATAATTCCGGCCCTCTGGCCAAGAAAAACCTATCTACACACCAGTTCTACAGGATGCATCACCTTTGCTTGGGAAACATTACAACTAAATTCAGAGTCATTGATCCGAACATAAGGAACTATGAGAAGCTGATGTGTTTGGAATCACAGAAGCCAAGGAAGCTTCATATATAAGCTATTAGACCAAGGGCTGGTCAATGGGAGATAGATGTGAAGGGAGTGGGTAGAAGTGGATGGGTATCCTGGTGGATGGTGGAGCAAGGAAATAAGTGGGTAAAGACACATGTGCCAAAGGCAGGGACAACACTGACACTAATGGTTAACTCCATAATAAGGGATATACCTTTAACTTGCTGGTCTGTCTGATACTTCTCTAAATCTGAACATTCACATTAAGACAGATAGGAAGGAGGATTAGCCATCCACTTCTGAAATAGCAGGCCTCTGAAAATCCTATGTACAACAGAACACATGTAGATAACAGAAAGGGTAGCTGAGGTTGAGCTTTCAAATATGGAAATACAAAGGAGGAACAGTTGTAAGCAGACACTGGTGATTGGGACATGGAATGTGAGAACCATGAATGTAGAAAAATTAGCTATTGTTAAGGAAGAAATGGAACGCATAAATATTGACATACTAAGCATTAGTGAGATGAGATGGACTGGCATGGGGCATTTTTAGTCGGATGATCATGTATTACTCTGGAGATGAAAAGGTGAGGAAAAATGGAGTTGCTTTCATAATTAAAAAAGTCATTGCTAGATCCATCTTGAAGTACAATATTATCAGTGACAGGATACTATCCATACGCATACAAGGAAGTCCAGTGAATACTACTATCATTCAGATATATGCTCCAAGAACTAGAGCCAAGGAAGAGGATATATAAGATTTTTACCAACTTTTACAATCAGAGATCGATCGAACATGCAATAAAGATGCATTGATAATAATGGGTGACTGGAATACAAAAGTTGGGAACAGAGAAGAAGATTCAGTAGTTGGAAAACATGGACTCGGTGACCGAAATGGAGCTGGAGAGAGAATTGTCGAATTTTGCACAATCATTGACTTATTCATAGCAAATACATTTTTTAAGAGACATAAACGCAGGTTATATACTTGTATTTCACCAGATGGTATGCATAGGAATCAGATCGATTACATCTGTGGAAAGAACCACTGGAGAAGCTCAGTATCAGCTGTGAAAACTAAGCCAGAAGCTGATTGTGGAACAGACCATCAACTACTCATATGCAAGTTCTAGCTGAAGTTGAGGAAAATTAAACCAAATCCAAGGCAACCAAATTATGACTTTGAGGCTTTCCCACCTGAATTTCAGAACCATCTCAGGAACAGGTTTGAGGCCTTGAACACTGATGAGAGAAGACCAGATGAGTTTGGGAGGATATCAAGGGTATCATCCAGGAAGAATGCAAACGGTCATTGCAAAGACAGAAGAGGAAGCGAAGACCAAAATGGATGTCAGAAGAGACTCTGAAAATTGCACTGGAGT